TTAATATTTAGCTATTCTTTGGACATTAATAAATTACAATCTAATAGAAGCCCATAAGACAAGAGTTTCCACTGACACATAGGCCCAAAAATTCAATGTGGCATTTAAATATATAGAGGTTTTTTTATAGGCAGAAAAACTTCTAGACATCTTCTATTATATATTATATTATTTATTTTATATTTGTATCTCTATAAATCAGTTATTATGTTAAATGAGTCAAATTATTCTATAATTAACACTAATCGTTGGAGATACAAAATTTTAATATCCTTTTATACATCTCAGAATACACATTGTGCCATTGGAGATGTTTTTCGATACCTATTACATTGCTATTATAAACCTTTTTTATTTGCACTTTTGTGAATTTTTTATTTTTAGTTGCAATTATACTGACTTCACGGCTTATATGAATGATTGATTGGTGGTTATTTTTGTTATTAATTTAAATGCATTGTTTTATGAATGATTTATACATAGTTTAATTTTTTGAGTTTATGATACATTATGAATAATTTTGTATAGTTTAATTTTTAATATTATGATATAAAAGCTTTCAAAAAATGTAGTGAACGTGTAATTTCGTGTTGGTGTTTTTAATGTGGTGTTATATTACAATAGTGGTTTTTTGTTCTTTAATTTTGATAGTTTATTTTGTGGCCTCGGGTGATAAATCGTTTATTTTCAGGAATATGTGTTCTCGAAAAGATTTGGAAGACGATGATATTACAGAGGAATCATCGAACCAGCTGCAGACTATGTTGAAAACAGTGAAGTATACGGAAGATAAACGGGAAATAAAACTCAAGAACACTCCAAAACAGTGAAGTATACGGAAGATAAACGAGAAATAAACACTCCAGAAACTTGGAGTTTTGGTCGATGGATACATGAATATTGATATTGCGGCAGGCGAAACTTTCAAAGATAAAAGTGTCCATGTGTCTTAATGCTTCAATTAAAGAGTGGAATCATTGTAGGCCTGTTATTGTTGTCGATGGTACTTCCTTTAGTTTCGTATGGAGGTACGACAAGGCCGGTGTTTTAGATGGGGTGTGCTTTGGCGGTTGCGAGATGGGCGATGATACTTTCTTTAGTTTGGCGTATGGAGGTACGCCAAGGCCGGTTTTTTAGATGGGTGTGCTTTGGCGGTGGCGAGACGGGCTCTGCTTAGACGGTGGGGATTTCAGTTCAGATTATCTGAGTTTTGGCAGTGATTTGCTGTTTGGTATGAGAAAGCAAATCTTTGGCAAATAAAATCAATATATTCGTCAATGACTTGTGTGTGACAATATTTTGTTTATCTACCGTTTATGTTAAGTATAATTGTACAAATACTTTCTCATAACCACGAAAAGATATGTTTAGATATACTGTATATATACATTAGATAAACATGGTCTAACATTTCTATAATATTACCCGTATAGTTATACATAAGATAAACATGGTGTAACATTTCTCTAGTATTGCATGTATAGTTATACATAAGATAAACAAGATATAAACAACACTAAAACGACATAAAAACATAATACACAATTCTGAATGATTGCAAAATCCAAAACCGAATGTAGTTATACATTAGATAAACAACCTATGTCTACTTTACATGACTCCGAAAACTCAAAACTTGTCAATTCCAACATATTTCAACTTTACATAATAATAACCATCTCACTATCGTGATTTGATAAACCCGCATCACAATTACTAATTTTCTTCTTTCTCCTCGTTAATGTTGAAATCTGAATCAAACACTTGTTGATTCATTGGAGAATCGACAATTTTCACTTTACCCTTGTTTTGTTGAACCCTCTTCCTGTTGGTGTCGTCGAGCACCTTAATTTTTTTTTTTTTTTTTTTTTTCGAACACAAAATCGTCGCCACCGTCCGACCCACCGTCGGCGGTCTTCGGTCACGTTTTTTGACACGACTTGGATGCTCCATTTTCTGAAATTGGAGCTTCTTTTGTACAACCTTGCGCGCGCGCGCGGTTGAGGGCGGGGAGGGGGGTGAAGTTGAGTTGTGTGACGAAATCGGGATCGAACTATCCTTGTTTCGTCTTTGTTGTTGGTATTTTTTGCCTCAATTATTTACGCTTTGGCATTCTTCCAATTTTTGCAGAGAGAACTTTAATTTCTTGTGTGTGAGAGATGAGAGATGAAGTTCTTTTTTTTTTTT